TCATACGCTCTTCTCCCCTTCCATGTGCTCCTTGGCTGGAGAGGGCTGCTTGTCCTGGCTTCCCTCAGGGCCGGGTTTGGCGGGAGGAGTGGGGCTGCTGCTGGTGGTGGGCAAGAGGTTGGCAGACTGGAGCACAGCCTCCGAGTGCTCCCGGGCCTTCATGCGCAGTGCGGCCACACTGGCGGGGCGGTTGCTTTGGCAGCCATAGGTGGGCAGGAAGGAGAGGCCCATGGGATCTGGAACGCAGCACGAGCACAGCGGGCTCCCTGGGGAGGAAGGAGACAAGGTACCATCACTGATGGGGAAGGTCACGGGGACTGTCCGTGGTCAATCTGGAGAGGGCAGAGATGGGGCTGAAGTCTCTAATGGCAACAACCCCCTCCTCTATTGACCTTTAGTGGGTACATAGACGTTCTCTGGATCAGGGCTAGAAAAGCTATATCCTGTTCTGCTGAGGCCCACTGTGAAGGGTATTACACTGTGAGTCATCCAGGTGACAAACCGAGTGATCGAGGGCAAGCAGCGTCAGAAGCAAGCAGTGAAGTTTAGATGACATATGAGATTTCCTCACAAGCGAGGCTGAGCTCGTCCCTTGCCCTCATAACAAGTTCCTGCTCTGTGGCTACCACTAGCCCCATGCTGGAGGTGTCCCCTGCCCTCCACTTGCACACTGAAACCTGATCAATTTGGGCAGCTGCATTCATTGGGTGAGTGTGGGGGTCCCATCACTTATCTACACCTGAAAGATAACTGCAGAGAGAAAGGTGAAAATATTTTGGTTATTATGCAGGAACTGACAACCTTCTCTTATCTCACTGTAAGATGAGATAGGTTTTTCCTTGGCCAGGCAGGCCCCTGCCAACTATTGGCATCATGTCTACCTGCAAGAGTCTGTTCTACCTTCACCGACCAAATGCCTGTGCTGTTTAATGATGACACCGCTAAGAGAACAGCCTCCAGAAGTGAGTCACGGCCACCTAAAGCTGCTGTTGCTGACATGGCTTAAGAGTTCCATCAGCAAAGACAGGCCAGACCATCTCTACCTTGTCGTCTGAGATACATGGGCTGTTACAAGCAGGCCATAAAACACTGGAGAGAGGGTGAAATGGGAATTCCTCTCCCATTAAGCCAACAGGCTCCCCTGCAAGCCACTGACAGAGGCAGTCCTCCCTCCACCAGCTGCCTTCCTGAGCTAGACCACTGCAGGCTCTTCCTCTGGCTTATTTTTGATAACACTGGGACTTGGGCCAGTTCCCAAAGAGGTACACCTGGAAGTGTAGGTTGACCACTGGGCAATACATGCAGTCCATCCAAAAAGCCATATTGGTACCTAGCTTAGATGCATCTATTGAATAAAGGAGCATGTGTCAGAGGAGTAGAGAGGGGACACAGGGAGGCAGTGGCTCAGCTACTACTTTAATTTGCTCTCTGCTAAGAAATGTTGGCTGACACCATTTTGCCAGAGGTCTCAGAGGCCACACAAACTCCACATCCTCTTCTACGCCCCTGGCAAAAGCCTGTCCTTTGCTGATACGCTACCTTCCAACAAGAAACAGCCCGGCCACGCACATCCTGACATGATGCAATGTCTTCCTCTGATCTTTCCAAGCCAAGGACTTGCTTTAATTTCTGCAGTTAATATTTGAGTTAAATGGCTCATGACTAAGTGATGGAGCTAATAACCTGCAGGGAGCAGGTAGTCTTTCTTTTACACTTCTGCTCTCGGTAGCAACGGGTCAGTACCCATCTGCTAGGGATGAAGGTAGACAGTTGTTTGTTTTTAGGATGTTGGCAAAACTTCTCCACAGCAATTGTCAGAGATTAGCAGCTTGCAGGTAACATTCAGGGAAAAGTACTCTTTGCATTTTGAAAAACAGAATCTACAAAGGACAACTTATTAATGAAACTGGAAAGTCTTGTTTTCTGTTGTAATACTCCTCTGGTAGAGCATATGATCAGCAGACCAACATTTCCATGGGTCCAGACATTTAAGTGAATTGCATAAGCAAGTTTCAGCACTTGACTAAAATCCTTTATTTTTTGCGTTTAGCGCTAGGAAGCTCAATCTTGAATTCTGTGGCTGCTTTGAGCAGGTCAGAAGGAGGGTTTATAACAAAATCCACTCAGTAACACAACTTACAATTTTTGCCACCACTAACCACACTCATAAAGTCATTTTTTGCCCTGTTGAATCACAGCCACTTCAGGGGTGGTGGTCGGCCACTGTTTTAACAAGAGGGAGGAGAGGAAGTTCGGCACTACAGTTTGCAGCAGGTCTTTAGCTACAGAAACCACACTGAAGTCTGTTTTTTCACTACGATTAAGCCCCACTGTCTTAAGGTTCAGCTCTGAAATGGGGGAGCATGGAGGTCTGCCTGTGCATCAGCTGTCTTTGCACTGATGCTTTCTAACACAAACTGAGTGAGACTTGCGGATGCGGCTGTTCAGCTCCCAGGCTGAGGGGAGGGCTGGTCTATCTGCAGTACCTAACACAGGACCGAGCACAGACACTGCTTAGTGAGAGGTGGGGAGAAGTGGAAAAGAGTATTCCCCTTTTCAAAAAAGCAGGAATCAGCTCCATCCCCTAAGAATAATTTTCATTCCATTGTTAGAGGGGGATAAAATATTTATCAGTCTTCAGTACCAATCTAAGCTCTTTGCTTAATAATTAGACCTGATATTACCTAGTAGCTCTGCAACCTGAGGGTGCAGTTACCTGTGGTGGAAACTAGGCTATCTCTAGCAATAATTCACCCATAAACCATTCCTCTCATTTTCACTGAGGTTAAAACACTTGCAAACAACAGCTCACATATGAAAAAAATGGAAAGTAACAAGTGTCATTTGCTCCAGGGTCCAGCTAGAATGCAGAAAAGTAGGATTTAGCCCTGTTTCTCTTTAATGTAGATTCTAAGGCAGGTTGAATCTACCTTACAATTGCCTGTGTCTCCATGTAGTAAGTCCAGTGAAATCTATCAGACTTTGCTGGCACAAAAGCCAAGACAAATGATGGGAGACTCAGGAGCCCAATGTCTGCACCTGCCCATCAATCAGCCCACAATGGACAGGGATGTGACTTTCACCAAGAAAGAGGCATCCACATACAGCAGACATCAGTCATTTTTTACATCTTATTGCAGTAACTCTGAGTCTACAGTGGGGAAGGAGGAATCATTCTTACTTATTTCGGATCCTCAGAGGAGTTTAGGCACCCAGCTCCCATCAAAATCAGTGAGGGTTAAGCTGTGAGCCCTAGATCTTGATCCAGCTTCCACTAACATCTATGACAGTCTGATATTACTTTAATGGGATTTGGATCAAGTTGCTACAATACGGACAGGGTACCATTCTCTTTCTTTCAGGAACTTACTGCCTCCTGTACACAAAATTAAAATACACAATTAGATTTCCATTAACTTACAGCAAATTCTGCTGAATTGATCTCAACCTCCTTGTATTCCTATATGAGATCATACTTTAAATGCTCAGCCTGAACATAAATACTTAATGTAATAAATACAGTCTGAAATATTTGATCCACTTGGCAGTTTAATTGATCTACTACAGAGACTGACAGGAAAAATTAAATTAGTTCTGTCTTGTCTCTGCCAACATCACATTTCAATTGTAATATTTGATCTACAATTTTGGTTGTGGACCCTTTTGTGCAGTTCCAAGGTCCCGTTTCAGCTGAGTGAGGTGGGAGCAGGGCCCATAAGTATTTAAAATATATATTTTGTATTTCAACTAACAGTTTAAAGAATTTAATAGATAGCCTTTCCAAAATGCAAAACCCCAGTTCCTTTCCTCTTTCAGTATTTGTGCATGTCAGCATTTGATGTAGAGAGCTGAAGAGCAACTTGACATGGAGTAAAGTGAGGAAAAATTCCAATTTAAAATCCTCACTTGCCAATGCATGCTGTTCAGTTTTCAGAGAAAATATTATGCTTGATTTAAGTATTGTGTTCACCTTATAGTAGTCACATTGGTTTGCCTGAGCTCTGAATCCTCATAAACTCTGAAATCACTTTCACAAGGGTTGGAAGGTCAACGACAAACTCGGGTTCATAGGGTCATTTACCAGTGAGAGCTGATTCAAAGGGAGTTCCCTCTTGCCCTTCATACACAATGCCAACACTCTGTCTATTAAAGCCTGAGGCACAAGCAGGAAAAACAAAAATGGCTTTATCCAAACTTTCTTGAGCACTGCATCAGGAGGTTCAGAAGAACAAGAAAGGCACAAACTTTAAGCCTGAAACAGAGAGGCACCAGATGCTCCCAGTCTAATTTAGGGTAGCCTCAAGGCTGCTAAAGTTGTGCTAGATGGTTCATCCTTCTGGTGCCTAAGCTGGTTAAGTGTGGAAGGCACCTTGTGCTGCCCAGAGGCTGGAGGAGCACTTCAGAGCTGACAGCAGAGTCCAAATGTTATAATTTTACATCTCCTTGGCTTGTGAACCCTATATGCCCAAAGCAAGCAACAAGGAGCTGATGATCTGGCTCAGTTGCTCTAGCAGAAGCCTTTTTGTGTAAATAACTTGACACTAGAAATGGAGGATTTCATCCTCCTTTATTTGTGCCATTAGTACTGTTTCAAAAAAAAAAAAAAAAAATTTAGAACCCAGGACCTTGTCTGTTTGAACAGGAAACCTCGCAGCAAAGCCCACAAAAGCTGAGAGAACAGAACCAGTCCTTTGAATATAGTCAGCTCAGCAACCATTTACCACTCTTCCCTTTTATAACAAAAACATGATCTGGCCCTAAATCCTGCTGACATTTGTCACTCCAAGAGGGGTCAATAGGAATGCCTGCCCAGCTAAGGTCCACTAACCTAATCAAGATTTGTCCTGGAGGAACAAGCCAGCACCCATTTCCTTCCCATGGCTCTTAGGGCTCCTAGTATCTGCATGTTCCCTAACATTTGTGATAAAGACCAAAAAAATTTACCTGCAAAGTAGGGCAGTGCTAGAGTCAGAGACCTGTGATATGGGAAACAGAGTAATTTGCTCAAGGTCTGTGCATCTGCACCCAACTAAAGAAATGTTTTAAATTCTCTAAAGTCACAGTGGCAGATAAACTAGGGAAAATGCCAAACAGAACCCACTTTGCTATATTACATGAGAAAAGTCACTAAGTCCATAATCAAGAATGACAGAGAAAATAAAGGATCCCAAGAGTTTTGATTCCCGTTCCCTAGTCTTATGGTAAGGAGTGGTGCTTCAGTTCAGTAAACGCCAGTTCAAGGGTAAGTTAGGTCCTTGAACACTTC